GAGAAGCTGAAGCCAAAGGGAAACACTGGGAATATCTTGTTTGGCTTTCTCGTTAGCAAAAACAATCTTGTATTTTATATCCTCTCAATATCCTTATTCACATTAATGCATTGCAGGTCTTGCTGCGGTGAGACAGGATGTGTTTTGTCTTTGCGATGCTTGTGTTGCGTTTGGCCCAGGTACGGCCACTGGAAGATGTTTTCTGAGTGTCTATCAGAAAAGGCCAGGGCTTTGTGAAAAGCTCACACTCCAGCTAGTACTAAAACGTACTTTTTACTGATGATGGAGCAGGAAGGCCAAGGGCAGAACGGCCTTTGGAGAGCAAAATCTCCTCTCTGAAAAGCCAAGGGGAATGCTTGGCCTGCAGCAGTTGTTGGCTTCCAGCAAAATACACAAAATGCCCTGTCAATCCAGAATTCACCTTCTATTTTCCCTGGTGACTGACTTCTCTTTTTCTCCTCCAGCTCCTCTTGCAGATTACACCACGCTCTCCCAAAACCAGAATGATCATTCGTTTGCTGGACCTTGTTCCTCAGTTCCACGTACACCAGCTCTTCGCTACCGTTAGAAGCGAGAGCAGACACGTAACGCGAAACACCACGTTGCTGTAACCACCGCCGGGATCCAAGCAAAGGCAAGGACTGCACAGCCACAGGATTTCCCCATAAAGCAGCTGCTAAAATGCCTAATAGAGGTGGCTGTTGTCACTTTTGCTTGTCTGGAAGTGCCTTACTGTGTGCTTAATCCAACTGAAGTTACCACTCGCAGACAGAGTGTCAGAATTGGGCTCTCATCTCCCACCTTCAAAAATATTTACAACAGATAAAACACCCCACATAACCCAAGCAACCCGGGAGTTGTGAACAACGCAACTCTGCACCCCCGTGTTGTATTCTCACAATGTTGCATTTACTGTTTGTCTTCTGCCCAGAATTTAAATGAAGGTGGAGTTTCTGTCTTTAACTGAAGCCTGGTTTGGCTTCCATTAGCATTTCAACCCCCAAGGGGTCATCAATCCAATTGAAATGATACATGTGCTTTTCAGGTCACATCTGTGAAGGAGAACGCGCCCTGCCCAGATCAAGGCATCCCATTAAAGTCTGCATCCCATATGTGTGTCTGCTAACTGCTGTCACGGCAGCACATGAAAGCAGCACGGTGTGATCACACGCGGGACGAAGGAGCCCTCATCATCACGGAGCAGCCCCGGCGGCGCCGCGCACCCTCCTTGGCCCGCGCCGCTCCTGCAGGTCCCACTCGCTCCTGGTCTCGGGGTGCTCTGCTAACCTGTCGGTCCAGCTGCGCCTTCTCCATCGATAACAGCTAGGACTGATAACCCACTGCTTACTCCACTGTCTTGCTCAGAAAAAATAGGAGAACGTGTGAACCAAAACCGAGAGATTTCAGATACCAACACGCCGCCTGCTTTGCTTCCGTTCAAAGGTGTCCCAATGCAATTTTAACTTGGAGGAAAATAAAATCCCATCACGGTGTGCTAGGGAGTGCCATTTGGCAGCAAGCTGCGGCGGGCGCCTGCTCGCTGCTTCGTGTCCTGGCTGTATGGGCTGTGCCGTGATGCTCAGGGCTCCTTGCAGCGGGGACAGCCCCACGGTCCCGCCAGGCACTCGCTGAGCGTGTGACACATCCAGCAGCACGTCTGCAGCACCCCCTCCTAGGCCCGAGACTGCTGCACAGGAGCATCTTCAACGACAAGAATGAAGTGTGGCTCCATATGGATGTCACCGAGGGCTCCGTTTCAAGTCGGCCTTGTCACCAAACGAGAGATGGAACAGCAGGCAGCAAAGAGGAACCTGCGGCGGAGCCCCCGGGCGCTGCAGATGGACTGACACGGGGCACGAACCGGGCCGGGGCCCTGCAGCAGCCCTGAGAGCTCAGCGTGCCGGGCCAGGGACGCAGGGCTTCCTCCCCCTGCAGAAGGTGCTTCCAAACTGTGACCTGCGGGATCTCAGCACAAAGGCAGATGAGGGCTGATAAGCACAGAAAAAACTGCTGAAGACTGATGGTGGCCACAGTGCCACACGTGTGAGAACAGCAGTCCTGAACCCCACCTCAGGGCCCAGGATAACTGAGCCCCAGGCACAACAGCCACTGAGCTCTCACGAGGGCTCAAGCAGACACGAGTGCCTTTCATGAAGCCAAATACATGTTTCCTATTAGAACTGATTTATCTCCGGCAGTGCTTCAGTTTCTTGTGCTTCTGCAATGTGGGAAATCTGGACACCAACTTTGAAATCTATGTTTGCAAACAAAATATGGTCTAAATTATACAAGCCTTATGTAAACTCCATGCAGTTGGAAGTT